ATTTAATTTGGAAGGCGCAAATTCAAGTAGAGGATAGGCGAAAATAACTTCAGAAGAATGGCCGAAATAGGAGAGACGGACACTAATCGTTGCTTGTTTGGTGGTAGACATTAATCGTTGCTTTTTGGTAGCCGCTTATTGTCTTGGTGATTGGCAGTTTTGTCATATTTAAGCGCATTATTGCAAGGCAATCCGTCTTGTAGAAAAAAGTAAGTTGAGTGCTCTAAGAGATTTTTATTACACTGTTTAAAAGTGAACGTTCATTCGAGTCGAACTGAAGCGTTTGCCTACGCTTGCGTAAAATTTAGTAGGAGCGTTTCTGCGCTTATCGCTCATGTGAGACCCTTCTTTTAGTTTTCCCAGTACCCCTTATAGGGAGTTTTTTTCTATAATCAAAAAGCCAATATTACGTCCATAATCACAACGAACCTAGTGTTGTATAAATTCAACTGCAATCAATAAAGTGAAGTTCCGAAGCTCCGATTTAATGAAAATCGCAACTACGATCGGATATTTCGGTTTATTAACACTTTAAGGTAATTAAGATTTCTTTATTTAATTGTTTCAATCAATCGTTTGCTGCGTGGTATGTGTACTCTGACCCTGTGTGCCTAATTTTAATGCAGTCTTATTTTGTTTAATCTGTAAATGTTCTATGTTTATTCGAGCCCAAATTACGACCCAGGATGATTTGTTAATTAATTCTTTGGAATTGTGAAGTTGATCAAGGTAGTTGAGTTTTTTCAAACTTAATAAAATTAAAGCCTTATCGAGAGTTTTTGTTGCGACGGATGCTGAACATGCCCTGAAAAAATTATGACCATTTTCCATTGCAATTAACAATACTTACAGGGCATGGTGCTCTTTGTATATGATGTGATGTGTCCGTTTTCTATGTTTAACTCCTTATGTTAAACTTTAACACTATAAACCTTCTAACGTAGGTGAGGTGGTGGAAGTTCTTAATAAATTTGGTCGCGTTTTTACTACAATAGACTCTGCGATTACCTCTTAGAATTGTTACTTCACTTTTTTTTCATGTTGCTATTATGACGCACGACTTCTTACGTTACCTTATACTTTTATTATGCTACTATGGCACTCGAGATCTTTCGTTAGTACCTATATTTTACCTTCACCTGGATTAAAATTCATATGGGGGTAAAGTTAGTAAGAATAATTGCAATAGTAGGTATTTGTTCCACCACCTGTCGATTTAAAACGGTAAGTTTATCACTAGTCTCCCTTTAAATGACGAGTGCCATTTCAAATAGTTCAATAAATAATCATACATAATTATATAATACCTAGCAATTTCAAGAAAAATTAGAAAGACACGCACAAGACAAAAGTTTAGTGGCATTCATGAAGGGTGGACAGACAAATTCTTTAAGACATGATCACAAAAAGTTGTTAGTGGTAGAAAAATAGAAAGGTGTCCGAATCTCTTGTACAGGGTGAATGAGTGTACCGCCAGATGGCGATATAAGTTTAGTGTATTCTTTCCTTTGAGTAAAGAAAAGCTGCAAGCCACCTAAATACATGTGTAGAGATATGCTTTTATTATTAATTATTAAGAATACGGTTATGGAAATATACGGCGAGTTAAGTTGATATCTCCCTGTTTTGTGCGCCTTTCGTTTCGGAAAATATCAAAACTTTTCTTCATCGGCTCAGTTTAATACTAGAACATAAAGGTCAATGTGGACTTGTGCAAGACTGGTCCACTAGTTGAACTAGGTGTACATTTCAGTCGAAGTACTCGAAATATTCGTCGAAGTACCTTTCTAAGTAGTGCTCGACGGTGTTCGTGTATCGGTGTATGCGCATATCAAATGACTCTTTGTCCGCACCGGTGCAGTAGAGCTACGAGAACGGAGTCGAAATAGTCGAAGTACTTGACGAAGAAGTCGCACTAGGTGCATATATTTTAGTGAGGTGGACCAGTCTTGGATTTGTGCTCTGACAAATGCTCAGCCCTTTCAATTTTGAAAAAATGAAATATTTATATTGAACTCCTCTCATACTCCGAATGTTTTGTGAGTTTTTTGGGTTGGTGTGTATTATTATTTCTTTATTTTAGAGCATCTTTCCTTTCCGAGAAAAATACTTTGCCCACCTTTCTTAGGCATAATTTTTTTACACCTGTTTTTGTGCCGATTTGTGAGTTCACCTCTAAGTTCTATGACTTTTTCGTTTTGAACGTTATTATTGGGAAAACACCTGCAACAGTTCGCTTCATTTGAAAATTTGTGAAAATATTACCCCTGTCTAGCATCTCCCCTAAATTATACAGCTTTTTTTAAATTTGGTCCAATAAGAGTAGACGTTAAATTTTAATAATGTAGGAAGATTCTTCCCGAGGAAATTCTCCATGTTAACTAATTCGCTCTCGAAATATTCGCACCCAAGAAAACTCGCCCACGCTAATTTCGCCTGAGGAAGTTTTTCTCGGGGCGAATCTTCCTACAATCGAATGACACATAATCAAAATTTAACATCTTTTCTCGCGGTAATAAAAACTGGCAAAAACAGAGATCGAGCACCTGTTCTTTGCCAAAAGAACCTCTAGCTTTCAGAATCTACAAACTGGCCTGGAGGAAGCATTCACAGCTTTAAGCGGAAATAAGCCAATAGGGAAATGTCGCTGCGCGATCGGCGGGCCATCTCCGAAAACTGTTCTGTGGCTGGACCATTTCCACAGTCGTTACAGAACCACGAGGAAAATTCTCAACCGTATTTCAGTATTGACAACAAAATAATGAGAACATCCGTGACAGCAAAGCTGCCTTTCAAGCACTCCGCCACTGCAAAATCACTTCTAAGCTCCTTAAATGTCAAATGGCATCCTGTAGCGACAATGAAAAAACCGACAAACAAGTTAGAATCCCGATTTGTGGGCCAGAGCCGTCCCTCTCACTTGTAGTACTCACTGTAATAATAACTCAAGATACCCAGACAAAACACAAAGTCAAATCCGACTTGATTTCACATTGCCCCCATCGGAGAGGACCATCTGGGCGATCTATAAAATTTTGTACCGGGTTATCAAGGAAAAACCTGCGCTATTATTTCGAGAAAATTCGAGAAAATCTGCCCCCCCCCCTTCCCAGACTGCCGTAACGGCACGCACGTGTTCCATGGCCTACTACCTGCCGCCAGGTACCGAGCGCCGGATAATCCCGTGAGCGGTGGTCGGCGACAATCCGACTGTCCGCAGTCGGTCCGGCGTCGAATAGCTCCACCAAAAAGGCAAAGTAAACAGTTTTAAACCTGTAAGGTTGAACGAAATGGAAGATGTCACAGATCCTCCCAAAAAATATCTGGTTAATTTTAATCTAAAGAAACCAAAAAACTCACATCTTAAAGAAAAATGGTCTTATGAGCTTTTCATCAAACGCTCGTGATATTTTCTAGCAAACTCCTCTAAAGCTTTCTTGACTTTCTTTTGAAACATTCTGTAAACTCGATATTACAATTTCCTTTTCCCAAAATCTTTGAAAACTGTTGCATGTCTTGAAATATTGATTTTTTCAAATTTCCCGTGAAATGCTCTTGGTATTGTTATGTTTCTGTCAGTTGTAACTCTGTTCAAAGTTTTAAGAATCATGTCTTTTGCCTTTTGATTATTGAAGTCGGATCGCAGAAACGCAAGAAAATTTAGTAAGAGTACAAATATTACGATTGATATGCAACCAATTAGTGCCATAAATTGGTCAATTTAAAAAGCGGGTTGGTTCTATAGTTAAGGGCTAAGTGAATTATAAAAGAGAGTGCAAGAACAGAAGTTTAGGGTCAAAATTCTTTGCCGCAAAACAGCTATAATAAATTTATTTAGAAGAAGTACTGTAGTAATAGTCGAAATATAAAACTTCCTATTGGGAATTGAAGATTTGAATAATCCAGAGCTTTTTTTCTGACGCCTGCGACGTACTATTAATTAATTTGCGTTGTTTTTACGCGACAGTTTTAAATATGTCTTTTTGAAGAAGGGAAAGCAGTGTAAACATCTCAGGGTCAAAAAGCGCTAAGTGTTTTCCAGAGAGCAAACCTGTGGAAATTAGAAACGAGGCGTTAATAGCTCCATCCGCTTGAGGATAGCGACAATTACAATGATTAAAAGACACCATTGGGAAATATGAGCGAACTAAATTGTCTAGTTGTGCGCGCCATATCGAACGTTTATTAATTTTAAATTTGTTCATGTAAATTCAAAAAGAGTTTAGTGAAAAAGAGGCCTAAAAGCGAGTTACATAAACTCTCCAAAACAAATTGGAGTATGTATTTCTAAATCAGTATATTTTCAAACGTTGGTTCACTACACGTTATGTATTGACAAATAATGAGATATCAGTGAAGTATAAATCTTTCCTCTTTTAAACTATTTTTACCTGAGCTAGATACAAGTAAAAAAGTACAGAAAGGTACATTCCAAAAGTACATGAACCTAACAAAGACAAATCTACACCACGAACCTGAAAAAATCTTCAACTCTATGTAAAATACCAATACAAATTGGTAAACGTGCATTTTCAACATAAGGGATAGCGATTAGTAGGCGCTCCGTCTTAAAAATTCGACACTGAAGAATTGTGATGCAATAATGTTTTTTCCATTCTTATCACGCTGTACAAGGGCGTAATATATTGGCGCATACTGCCCCTGCTAACTTTTATTTTTTCCAGAAAACCTCTTATATAGTATCCTTGGGTAATTGCGCTGTAGCTGCTAGTTTCAAAAGCACATCTCTACTCCATTTGTAATCAGATAACAATGAACACATGGGCAACACACAGGAAAAGGAGAAACGAGAAAGAAAGCAACGATCACATAAACACAAAACAAAGTTATGACAATCACAACAATCACACTGTTATAAGTGCATGCACTAGATTATCTACAAAAATCCGAAAATCGTAAGACTATAATACGTTCTATATATGCGTATCTATAGGTGAACTATTGTGCAAAACAGTCCAAAAAATCTTTTTAGTACATACGATCGTTCCAAAATGCTTTCTGTCTCCTTGAATCTGTAAAATAGCATCAAAATGTCAAGATGTCCAAGTTAAAATATTTCTAATACAGTGTAGGTTTACATCAATTGCAAATCCCTTCTCTCACATTTGCGCGTATTAAATTACGGTGGATGAAACGAGAACGAAAATAATCAATTTGGCCGGGGCTCTAGGTACGAGTGGATCCCTTTGCATTTGCATTCAAATTCGCAAATTGACAATTATCGGGGCGCGTTACGATCTTTAAATTAAAGTAGCGAGTTGAATGCTAAAATAATTGCAAATGAGTACTTGTTGCTAAATGGTGCATAAATTATTGCGGCCGGCGGTTATTTATTGATCGTTTGGAGGGAGTTTCGCATCGAGCACTTTGCGCTATCTAGCGTTAAAGACTTGCACTGAGTATGCGCGTATAAGAGGATTCTGCCAATTTCACGGGTTCGTAACACGAATAGAGATAAAATTGAAAGTGTAGATTTCTAGATAGCGAAATTTGAAATACGAGCAGGAGCGGTATCGTTCCAAACAAAAATCTCGCTCTGCTATCTTATACAAATATTATTCTTGGAGTATATACTACAAATAAACTTTGCATACTTTCTACACCGAAAACAGATTGGTAAAATTCACATGTCGCAAACTTACCTTTCGCTGGCGATGGAGGAGTTCCTGGACATCGACTTTGGAGACATTTCAAAGTCGCTATCCGAGCGGTACAGGAAGCTTTCTCTCCGCTGCGGTAGGTTCTGAAGAACCAAGCCCGCAGAGGGAGAAGCTGCACCATCGAGAGGACTTCTTCCGGGACTGGCACCATTTTCGACGTCAAAACTGCAACAGAGACGCTCTTTTAGTAACGCAAATCACGCGTTCGTTCTACAATAGTACAATTTGGATATGATTAATTCGTTAATTCCTGTCAATCTGGGGATGTAATCGGAATTCCGTCTGTAAATTCGCTTTAAACTAATAGGCATCTTTGGCGCATTCCGCGACGGGAAAGAGATGGTCTCGCACTACCTACTTGTAGTATTTTACTGTATAGAAGGCTAACTAATCGGTTAATTATCATCGTGTGAGATACGTTATCTTTAGTTACTTAAATCATTGGGTTGGTAGTGTAATAGCGACTATGGTGAATAATGGACGATGTTTACTTGCGCGGTGCAGTGGTGGCATACCTCTTGATATTTTGAACCTAAATTCACACGGTATGATGTATCGCTTCACTAGATTAACTACGCAGTTTTCAATGTTGCTTTTCTACAATGAGAGCCATCATCACCATCGCAAACGGATAAAAAAATCTTTACCCCTTGCGTTACTTTGACAGCAGAAAATAAACAAGCACAAGAATAGCCCCTAACATCTCAGAAATAATTTCACCTACTGACATCAAATAAACCATCTGACGTCAGAGGAGATTTGCGCTGTCTATATAACAAAGGATTTACTTAGATTACGTATTGTAACAAAGTTCTACGCTACATTCGAGTGTATCACGCAAAATATGGATGGCGGGCCCAAAGCGCTATTAATACGCATGATAGTAAACTGTCGACCACCTGAATGTTTACATTCCATTTTCTAATCTTGTTGCAATATGATAAAGGTGGGTAGTGCAATTTGTCGTTCGTAAAAATTTGTAAATATGGCGATGGTAGTAAACATAATTTGGAGTTGAAGCACCTTTGTGGGTAGAAAAACAGTAACTCTGACGCTTTGTTGAGCGTTGTAGATTTTTATCTGTGATACAGATAATGAAAAATCTTAAGCAGGCCTTCCACGTGCATTCATTTCATCAAACTTGGAGTGTATACTCCTACAAACAGACCTACTTCGAACGTGGAAGTGGTCATCGCGCAAAGTTTGCTTCGTTCTTGGTGCGGAGCGAAGAGTTTTGCCAACCCTAAATTCTTGGCGCGGAGCGATGCTGGGGTGTGGTTGTCGCTCCTGGAGTTAAGACATAAGTGAGATAGATTTACACATTGTAGTATTTGAGGAACCGAAAACGCATATCGTTGTTTTCGCGTGCACAATCGTACCTGTATTTGTTCGCCAAGTTTGTACGAACCATGTGCGAATGTGGAAGTGGTGTTTTAACATTCTGTTACAAGTTCGAAGACATGGCGTTAATTCAAAGTTCGATGAAATGAATGCACGTGGAAGGCCTGCTTTACTAGTATTATTATTAATAATTAGCTTTACGTATATGGGAATTTGACTTTGACGGTACATCTCCAGTAATTCACTTGACTAGTCATAAAACCACACACGTAAATTATACAATAAAGCTTTTATGGCGTAAGACGCATGTTTGTTTAGCCGTAAAACATAAGAATTGCCCCAATTTACAAGATCAAAGTTTGAAATTAGAATTAGCAAGGCTTGCGGAAAATTATCACACATTTCAAAGTCATACCATTGAATAATAATTTATTATTCACTGGTCATACTAAGCATTTTGATCATTATTTCATAATAACTGCGTAATAGGAAATCTCGGGTGCCAGTTCACAACACCTCCACGTGAGATGACTGTCCTCAAATCGCTCGTGCAGAATGTGTAATGTGGCATGAGCACGTCCATATCATCCAGTTCAAGCCAAAACAAGTTGATCATCGACCTATACCGCTTGTCGTTGACAGTGATGGCCCGGTGTACGTCACTCTCAAAGGCTCTGGACCGACGACGTCGCCAACACATAATCCAGACCAAACAGTGACCTTTTAGAAATGCAAGTGGACGCTTTTGTGTCTCGCATGTGGATTGATGTGGATGCAGAAAAGGGCCTCATCGCTGAAGATGATTTTTCGATGAAAATTAAAGCGAGTTTCCAACTGCTCCCGGTTCTATTCAGCGAACACACGTCCGGGTGCGGACTGCGGACCCAAGTCACTGCGCAAAATTCTCCAAGTTGCGAAATCGCGAAACGCCTCTGATTCTTCTGCACACTCCCACGGATATCGGTGACGTTTTCGGCAGAGATCTTGCGTCACGTTGACGTAACAGACTAACAGTGTTGGTGAATTGTTCACTATACCAGTGTACAATTTATCCACCACACTGCGAATAGTCCTTTCGGTAGGACTATTACGACGACCGTACAATATGCGGATCGCGCGGAATTGCACATGCAAACGCTACCTATATCCTCCCATGGGGATGTGGCACAACAGACTGAATAAATTAGCCAAATAAATTCTCAAAATTGTCTCCTCCTGTGTTTTCGTTCTTGAATATTGCCAGGCGGAGTCTTTTACGCTACCGTTTTCCAATTTCCTCAAAGAAACAATTAATGAAGCGGAGCCAAGTCGGCAAATTGTATAAACTACGTCATGCGGGCGTTTTATTTGATATCAGCGCCTATAATAATGTTGGGTTACCCTGTATGATAATTTTATTTCTGACCACTAATTCAAAATGAACACAAATTCTGGTATTCGAATTTGAAGTCGTTTTTGATTTTATTACGAATTATTTATCTATTTGATGTGTAATTTTGTTTAAATAATCGCCGATTAATTTGTTAATTTTCTTATTAGATAGATTCGCATGTAACATTTTGTAAAAGTTTGTCTCATGTTATCCCCGGTCATTGCGATAAGAGCGTTATCGCTGCATGAGCTAATTAAGTTTTTATATAAGCGGGTATCGCCGATAAGGAAGCGCAGGTGTTTAAAGTATTGGAAGACGCATTTGGCAGTGGAACGGAAAAGGAAATTGTTTCAAATAGAACAGACGGACGTTAAACCTTGATTTTTTGGTTGTGCCAGTTCGCGAAGAAGAAAGTTACAGTGTTAATAGAGATTTTTATTACACCGTTTAAAGTGAATGTATAAGTCGAAATTAAAGAAGTGAAGTAGACAAAGTATTTTTTTGTTCTTATGTGAAGCCTTTACCAGTACCAGTTAAAGGGAGTTTTTTCAATCATCAAAGAGCCAATTTTGCATCAATAATTCAAATAAACCCAGTGCCATCTAGATCAAGATCCAAGTTCAATTAAAGTAAAGAAGAGAAGTTTGAGAAACAACATCAGTTGATGTTTGTGCATCACTTTAAGAAAGCGGAATTGACCGGTTCTTTGGATTATTTAATTAACACGTTATAGTTATTGATATGTGTTAAATAACGGATGCGATTGAATTCAATCTACTTCGTTATTTCTATATCGACCGAAATATGTTCAGTAGCTTTCATAATACCTACGAAAAGAACACAATTTCAAATTTAGAAAATAGAATACTAAATAAAAATATCGTTTCCCGTTGCGAGAGAAGCATTGTTTGCACACGTTCTGGAATTTAACAGGCCAAAGACGTTATAAGTAACGTATCAATTACATTGATATTATTAGTTACGTCAGTTTAACCGATAGGTAATTAACATTTCTTTAATTAATTGTTTCAATCGATCGTTTGTTGCGTGGTATGTGTATTGCCTATTTTTATTTCAGTCTTATTTTATTGATTTTGTGTAATAAATTTGTTTCATCTGTAAATTTTTCTACGTTTTAGAGCCTATATTACGACCTAGATAAGTGTTCTCATGCTAAATCTTTCTGTCGGTACCGAGGATTATGCCAGGTTTTATATTTATAATATAATTCTTATTTTTTAAAGTCGTAGTGTAATTATTTTTTATATTTGTTGGTAGGTACCTGTGTTTAATTGAGTTAGTTGGACAGGTGCTTTGGTGAGCGGTTGCTGTACGGGTTAATGCGATGGCGACAGTCAGACGGGTTTAGATAGCGTGGGCCGCGATAAAAAAAGACGCGAGTCGTCAATTTTGCGTTGGTTCCATTTCGGTTTTTCACCACGGAAACGGTTACAGAATACAGATTAAGGGGGTTAGTAGCACAAGAAGGAATTTAATTTTTAGCGTAACACAAGGAAGTGATCAATTTTCCGTCATCTGTCTGTCTGTCTGTCTATTCCATAGAGATCTCGGCCCCTGGGCCACCTAGAGACTTCGGGTTTTCGCTAATTGATAGCTGCTGTGGTCTATATTCGCTCGTTACTCATAATTTACAGTTGTGTTACGCGGCAACGCCCACGAGTAGGTTTAAATAATTTTTTTTAGTTTAATGTAAGTACTCAACTCTTTAGTAAAGCATTTGATTCTCAACCATGTTGAGCAGTGATTTCCTGTGATAGAGGTTTAGTAGAATCAGTTTTTCTAGGTACAAGAGCGATTAAAATAATTTTTATTTCTTCAAGAGATAAGGCATTTTTGTAACACATCTTTTTAAGAAGTAAAAAATGTGGCACTGTTTGCGTGTTGTCCGTCCGTTCGTCCGGACCCACATCTACCGTGTGGAACTACTTTTAGGGGAATGGTTCTAAAGTCCTGGATTTTTTGCAATAGGTAGCCTATACCTTGAAGGTGTACCAGAGGACCAACAATTTCGCTGTCTTAAGAGTGTGTGTGGGGAGGGGGGGGGGGCAGGGCTTAATTATGTTATGTTGTTTTTGAAAAGAAAACGTGCATAACTTTTACATACAACAACCAGTTGCTCTCAGTTTTGCATACGCATACCTTCAGTGGTGCCAATTGAGACATTTATTGAAAATGGGGGGGGGGGTGAACACATGATGTTCTACCCTTCATGATATTCAAATGAAAGGTTTCATCGAAATGAATTGTACCAATTATAACTTTCTCGCGCCACTCATTTTCGAGATTAGTTTGTGACCGATGGGGAGGTTTCCATGGTAATCTTTAATTAAACCTCTCAACAGAAGGAACTGTTTTCTACCAACTACCGCCCTTCTTTCTAACCTTCATGGTACTCTAATGAATTAATTTCTACCAGCCATAGTCCTCCTCA